TGCATTCCTTGGCAACTGAGAATACGATGCGACTTAAGATCGTAATTTAGAGGGTTGTAGCTTATTAACATCGGATGTTGCAGGATTAATAATAAACTTGGGTCGTCTGTCCTGTCGGTAGTACACCGAATGTAAGAGATTGGTTTTATCTTCAAAAAAAATTCAACACTTTCTATGTAGTGATGCGATGGATATAAGAATGCATACGGGACATTTATGGGTGGATTTTTACAAAGCTGTCAATTTGAGTATCATTTATCAGCCTTTTTTAAAGGAATTTGAAAGCAGTTTTAAAAAAATGTCGCGCTAGCAGCGAGGACTTGTTCAATGGCGTTTATTTATATCATCTGTTTCATTGTTTAATTTCTTGATGTTTTAATAGTGATTTGTATTTGTTACGTGTGTGTGTGTACTAATTTGGTCCTTGGCTACCACGTGGTTCACCGGTGGGTCACACGTGTAGGTATTTAAGTTCTGTGAGAGCCGCCAGTAGGTCACACGACTGTGTAAGTAGAGACTCGGCCTTCGTGGAGTGAAATAATGTTTTTGTAACCCCACACAGCTGATACAGGAAAAGGAACGTGACACAGAAGTGTTACACGATTTATACGATACAGGCGTCGGTCACTGTATAAATTTTTGTCCGGATAATATCACCCGAAAGCCAATGTGTCAATTTTAACCATTCTGTATCTCTCGAAGACACAAACATCCTGGAAGAATTTACTGTTCTCCTGTCACGTGTTCCGTGTCTAGATCATCATCTGTAGTCATCGAAGTTCCACACTCGTACAAAACGTCACGTTTATGAGTTACGTCGTTGCCAGGATGGAGGAGCCACTAGTCATTCCCCCCGCCCTCCCCCCGTGTCTCTTATTTTCCTTAAAACCGAATCACAGAATCGCCCTGACAGAATGATTCGAAGTTCGAACCTCAGTAAGGTACCCGCTGTGAACTGTATCTTATTTTTCTTGTTAAATTGTATCGATATATCTCGATAGAACCGCGGCCGCTGAAGAGCCAATATCACGAGTGGTTATGGTGTAATCGTGGAATGATATTGAAACGGAAAAGCCGAAGGCCACGACGCCGCTTTGCCCACCGCAAATCCCACATGTACTGACCCTGGAGCGAACCCAGATTTCCGCGGTGAGAAGCCGACGACATATCTGATGTACTGACACGGCCTTGAATTAGGCATGTCCGATCGAAATGTGTGACCTTGACATTTGATCGCACGTGTTGTGCTGGGATCTTCCAGTAGGAGGAACGTTTGTCTCGCATTCATATCGATCATACGCGTAAATCGATATTGGAACGATGAGTGGAACTTGAGACACGAGGACGTAGATTGAGCAGCAAAGTTCTCGGATTTTGACAGGTCATCAGAGAGACCTAATCGCGCGATAGATTTCACCGACACTTAACGCATATCTTAATCATGAGTGAGGAAAATTTAACGCTGAACTGAAAGCATTTACGTCATTCTGTACCATCAAATATGCCATAATATTTCTTGGCATCCGCTGAATAAAAGCATAAAGATTAGAATTAAAAATGTACGATTTTATATGTTGCTTTGTATGGTTATAAAACTTTATGTTTAATATTAATTAAATAACTGAAATTGAAGATTTTTGAGAACATGGACTTGATCAACTTTGGGCTATTATATCAGAAATTACCTGAAGTGACTGAGAACGTTTGTCAGGACAGGAGATTCAAAGTTCGTGACAATATATAAAATATGTACTTGTTCAATTTTATCAGTCTAATCACAATAAAATATTATTATTAAATATTAAAATATTAAAATATTACATTTAACATTTAAATATTTAAAATATATTAAAATAAAATAAAATAATTCTAATGTAAATCGAACATTTCGATATAGAACATCTTTTTAATATATTTTAAATATTTAAATGTTAATTGTAATATTTTAATATTTAATATTTTATTGTGATTAGAACTGATAAAATTGAACAAGTATATATTCAACACAGTATGACGCAACATT